TTAGCATTTACCAGGTCCAATTAATTATGTCTGGGCGAGTGTGGTAGGTAGCCTTTAAGATAGGTGTCCATGATCCCGCCTCTTGGTCTTCATGCCTTTGTGCAATGCCCTGTGCTTGAGTGCAGACTGGAGTTAATGACATGTCTGATTAACAGAATTTGGCAGAAGTAATGGGATATCACTTCTGAGACTAAGTCATAAAAAGACTGTGGCTTCCATCTCCAGGGGGTCTTTCTTGTTCTCTCTCACTTGGATCACTTTCTTTGGGGAAAGCAAGCTGCCATACTGTGAAGAGCCCTTGGGAGAGGTCCGAGTGGCGAGGTCAGAGGTCAGCCAACAACCTCATGTGTGAGCTTGGGAGGGGACGCTCCACTCAGGTGAGACCGGAGCCCTGCCAACAGCTTGACTGACCCCTCGTGGGAGACACTGACCCAGAGGCACCCCGCTGAGCTGGGCACAGATTCCTGTTTCTCCAAAATGGTGAGATAATTGTTTGTTGTTTAAAGCCAGTTTGGGGGGTAATAATGATATGCAGCAATAGATACCTGAATGTTAGATGTGGCTAGGGAAGAGATTCAGGAATGTTCAGCATGACAGAGAAAATCTCTCTCCTTGCCCTACCTCTGTAACCTCTTCTCCACTTAGAGGAAACCCAGTTGTGGTATACTAAAACATGTATTTGGTCTTGTTCCTGGTCCCTTGCACAGAGCTCCTACAACCCTTTGAATTTCCTGAGTGGTAAGAGTAATAGGAGCATCTTTTGTTATTCTTGACAATCCCCTTTCAAACATGCCTGAGTTTAAGCTAATAAGGTGACTCTTGGTAGGCTCCTAGACAGCTTCAGGATGGAGCTGTGATAGGAGGAAACTTTCAGCCCTTTGCCTCCTCTCACCATCTCCAAAGAGGGGAGAAAGGCTGGAGACTGAGTTCAATCACCAATAGCCAGTAATTTAAGCCATTGTGCCTACAATGGAAGCTCCATAAAAACCCCTAAACAAAGGGGACTGGAGAACTTCTAAGCTAGTGACCACATCCACGTGCTGGCCGGATGATGCACCCCAACTCCATGGGAACAGAGGCTCCTGTGCTCCAGACCCTTCTGACCTTACCCCCATGTACCTCTTTGTTTGGCTGTTCATTTTTATCTTTTATAGTAAACTGTAATATTAAGAATGGCATTTTATTGAGTTCTCTGAGTTCTAGCAAATTATCAAACTAGAGTCAGAGTAGGTTGTGAGTACCCTTGAATCTGTAGTTAAGTCAGACAGAAGTCATGTAACCAGGGGCCCCCTATCGGTGATCCACGTCTGAAGTGAGGGCAGTCTTGTGGGACTGAGCCCTTCAACCTGAAGAGTCTGATGATAACTCTGAGTAGTGTCACAATAGGATTGAGTTGTAAGACACAGTTGGTGTAAGAGAATCAGAGTTGGATAATCGGTGTTGGAAAAGACAATATGTATTTGGTGTCAGTGTTCATATTTTCTTGACTAGCCATATGGTTTTATTTTCTTTTTAAAAATGTGAGCTCAAATGTAAGGTAATCTAACTTCCTAAAATCGATAAAATAAAGTTTTAAAGTAAAAAATGTAATGGCTCTGTTCCCATAAATTCTCTCCCC